TGTACTCTTTTCTAGGATGATGTGATTTTTATTGCTCTGGAAGATTTACTTAGAAGCTTAGAACACAAGATTATAGCTGTAAAATTAGTACAATGGCAGAACTGAAAAGATACTGTGTAAAAGAAAACGTCGCTTATTTTCGGAAAGATTTCAGAAATGTCCATTATATTTAAATTTTCATTTAAGTGAATTGGTAACTTTACCATTAGGGATTTTTTTTTTTATTATTTAGAAAAGAAATCATACATTGCTTCTCTTTAAATAGCTTCCTTAAATTATTATCCACAACTGCATGGCATGAGTCTTTTGTTTTGCTTTACTTTATTTTGTTTTGTTTTGGATGGTCTGAAAGTATACACATATTTTGATTAAAGGAATAGCAAAGAGGAAACTCAGCTGGAAAAATGAAAAGACAAAGCAAACAATGGTATGAACACACTGAGACAGTGGAAGGGAAAGTTTTGTATCATTGTTGATAAAACCCAAATATTTTCATAGTTAATAATCTATCACCACTTAAATTATGAAATAGATACAAGAAAATAAAGAGAATGGCAAGAATAATTTAGTAGTAAAATAAATATGGTAGGATAGAATAAGAAAAAAAAGCCTTGTTTCTTAAGGAATTTTCTATACCATTTTTTTTTTTTTTTTGAGACAGAGTCTCACTCTGTTGCCTGGGCTAGAGTGCCGTGGCATCATCCTAGCTCACAGCAACCTCAAACTCCTGGGCTCAAGCAATCCTCCTGCCTCAGCCTCCCAAGTAGCTGGGACTACAGGCATATGCCACCATGCCCGGCTAATTTTTTTCTATATATTTTTAGTTGTCCAATTAATTTCTTTCTATTTTTAGTAGAGACGAGGTCTCACTCTTGCTCAGGCTGGTTTCATTCTATACCTTTTTATCACCATTTTCTAGTCATTTAAATACACTTTTCAATCTTTCTGAGAACGTTATGCACAGATTGGTTTTCACTGTAATATTTTTAAGCTCAGGATGACAAATACGTTTCTGATCAATTACCAGTGGCTTTCTGAAGCATTAAGTAGGTAAAAATTATAAGGCTGTGGTCCCCAACCTCCGGGCTGCAGCCCAGTACCTGTCCGTGGCCTGTTAGGAACCAGGCTGTGCGTCACCACCTGAGCTCCACCTCCCAGGCCCCCCATATCCGTGGAAAAACTGTCTTCCATGAAACCAGTCCCTAGTGCCAAAAAGGTTGGGGACTGCCATTATAAGGTCATGTTCGACTTTAGTGGTAAAAAGTACCATCATTGATTAGCCGTGTTTTCCCTGGCTATGGAAAGGGATGATAGAACTCATGCCATACAGTTATAGGTAGTAATATATGCAGTATCTTTTAGGAAAAGCAATGCAATGACTTATTTTCTTAAAAAAATTGCTGATATTCCTTTCAGACTACAGTTTCTTTTTAACAAGCCTCTTTTATAACTATTACTATTATGTTTTATAGTAAATAAAGAATAAGATTTAAAGATCTGAAATCATTAATTTTTAATATTTTGGGTTAAATATTAATGCTAAGGTTTTTTTACAAATATTTTTGGACAAGTAATTTTAGATTGTATCCCATTTTGACGTATGTGTTATTTTAAAAAATATATGTCACTTGGTAAGAACAATGCTGTATAAGTGGATGAAAAAAGGACTAATTTTGATATCAAATTGTGTCTTCATTGTCATTTTAAGATTTATTCCCAAATATGTCAGTGCTTTAAATCATTCATTTAATCAGAGCCATTGTATTTTTAACAATTAATGATGATTTTCTTTATGTTTAATAAGAGTACTCACCTTTAAGCAGTGATGTGCTGGTAAATCTTTAATAAGCAATTCTTATGGGAGGGGCATGGGGCAGGGTTGTGAAGAAATACTGATTAGTAGCATTTGCCAATTTCCGTGGTGTAAATATTTCTACCATAACTGATTTCAAGCTACCAATATGCTCTCATTAAACATAGGGTTGGGAAGAAGATATGTACACAGTTGAATTTCAAGAGCTGGTATGATCTGGCTCGAACACATTACTGCCTCTAAAGAAGCCATATACATTTTATTTTCTAAAACAATTATGTTCGAAATAATAGGAAACCTTCAAATATTGAACTTCAATGTACATTGTCAACATGACTAGTCTTACTAAAATATTTTGTATCTAACTTTGCAAGAAAATATCTAACTCCATTACATATATTTTCATCTATATATATTGTATGAAATTTTGGAAAAATTTTCTAAGAAAGCTTGCCTAATATTTAATTGTTAGATATTTTTATACACTGAAAATTTAATAAAATATTTCCAAATTTTATAAAAATGTATTTATGATCCAATCAACATTCCGCTGTTGATTAGAATAGGTATTTTTTGTCTGGAATAAATGTTTTTGGTTTTCCTGTGCTCTTAATCCTTTTCTATCTCTGATAATGAGTAAGGGTATATTATATCTGAGAATATAAATAAGAGGCCCTACAATAGTAGAGGTACAGCCTATGTTTAATTAGGCAAATGGTGAATGATAGTGATTACTACTGAGTGGTCAGTGGATGAGATGAGTTGTGGTTACTTTCAATTTTATTTGAGGTTCTAATTTACCATTTTAGGCCAATGGAAACAAAACCTGAATCTACACTGACTGCTTAGCTCCCCTTCCCCTGGGATAAATAGGGAAACAGAAGGCACTACTGGAGTGCCTAGCACATAGCTGGCCCCCAATAAATGTTGGTTGAACAGGTACAGGAGGAGTTTGAGATCTTAAGCTATCATTAATATTTAATTAAGTCTGTCCATGTGGTTGGAATGCTTATAACTCTATATCGTTGCTAGTTTTTAGAATCTTATGCATCCTTCAAGGCTACTTTTTGCATGAAGCCTTCTCTGATCACTCTGAAGAGACTACTCCTTTTTGTAAATTCCCATCTTTTTCATTTTATCATTTTTAATCGTATGTCATTTATATATTAATGCTATGCTTGGCACTCAGGGATATTATAACCTTCTTGAAGAAAGGAATAAGATCTCACTCGTATTTATCACCCAATCCATTTAAAAAAATTCTTGAATGTAGTACATACCTTGTAGTTATTATTCAATTAATAAATATGAATATATCTAAAGATAAAACTTGAAAATAAATCCCATATCTGAATCCCGCTTTTCAAATATATTGGAAATTACTATGTTGCATTTCTCCTTTTCCTAATGTTTACTGTCATATATAAATTTTCCATGTCTATTTTATATTTTCTCCTTGCCTGTTTTTATCTCTAAGCAGCTAAGCAGCAGTTTTTTCTTTTAAATGCACTTTTTCCCTCATACTTCCCTCCAAACTGAGAAAAAACTGTATCCTCATTTGTCAGTAGCCACTCTATGAGAAAACTTCAAGCATTTTATATGGCAAAACTATTCCAGTTAAGGATTTATTTTTTCAGAGAATTTCATAATAATTAATGAATTGGAGTTTCTTTGATAGACTTTAACTACTACAGTGGAGCAATCTTATCCTCTGTGATCTGCTCTCAGAGCCACATCCCTCCTTAGGGGGACCCCAAGTGTGGCCTATCACTGTTTAGAAATATATCACATGAGGAAACTGAATCAAAACAGGTCACGAACTCCTAAGAATGATCATTTTTTCCATTAGGTATATTCAGAGGCAAATTTACTACGAACCAAATGAAGCTTAATTTTAAGAGCTCTCACACAGATCCCTTCCTAGGCTGTGGGACAAGCCCCAGCAATGGATTTTTTTCTTTAGAGTGTGACTCCAAATTACATGCACTGCAGGCACCACAAGTAGGGCTCTACTTCTGAGCACACCCATTATGGAAACCGTATGATACTGTGGAAAGAGCAATATTCAGATGTCTAAAGGCCTTGATTCTAGTCTATGTTTAGCACTAACTTGAAAGATATCCTTTCAAAAGAAATTTAAACTTGCTGAGCCTCAGTTTATCTGTGAAATAATACTGGTAATTAACTTATTCTGTCTTCCTTTCTGAGTTATGTGATAATCACCTAAAATGACGTTCTAATAATGAAAAATCAGAGTTCAGAAATAATAATTTACTGAAAATATAAAAATTAAAAGTGTTCAAAATTGGTGTTATTAAACACATGAAAAAATGCTCAACATCTTTAATCATTAGGGAAATGCAAATCAAAACCACAATGAGCTATCACCTAACTCCAGTGAGAATGGCTTTTATCAAAAAGTTCTAAAACAACAGATGCTGGCGTGGATGCAGAGAGAAAGAAACTCTTATACACTATTGGTGTGACTGCAAACTAGTACAACCTCTATGGAAAGTGGTATGGAGATTCTTCAAAGAACTAAAAGTAGACCTACCATTTGATCCAGCAATCCCACTACTGGGGATTTACCCAAAGGAAAAGAAGTCATTTTATAAAAAAACACTTGCACTCTAATGTTTATAGCAGCACAATTCACAATCACAAAGATGTGGAATCAACCCAAGTGCCCATCAATACATGAGTGGATTAATAAAATGTGGTATATGTATACCATGGAGTACTACTTAACCATAAAAAATGGTGATCTAGTATCTTTTGTAACAACCTGGATGGAACTGGAGGCCATTCTTCTTAGTGAAGTATCACAAGAATGGAAAAACAAACACAACATGTACTCAAAACTAAATTAAACTAATGGATCAACATTTATGTGCACATATGGAAGCAAAATTCAAGGAAAATCAAGTAGGTGAGGAGGGGATGGGTAAATTCACACCTAACAGGTACAATGCACACTTACTGGCTGAAGGGCACACTTACAGCTTTGACTCAAACTGTATGAAAGCAAATTATGTAACCAAAATGTATGTACCCCTGTAAAATTCTGAAATTAAAAAAAAATAATTAGTGTTGTTGAACATGAGGCCATTGTTATCTTCCTACCATTCAAAGTCAGCAGCAAAATTCCCTAAGAATTTTCCCTAACTCGAGTCTGTTTCTCCTGCAGAAGAAGCATCGCAGTCCTGCCCTAATGAAAAGTGTTCTTTAATCCTGGATTGCAGTGGATTGACCTTTTTTGATTATTCCGGAGTCTCCATGCTTGTTGAGGTATTTATGCAGCTGGTGTTTGGACTGATTCCTTCCCTTCTCTCTAGTAATAGGGGTTTTCACCTGTTGTTCAGAGTCTTGAGCCTGCTTGTTGCAACACTCATCTCATCCCATTCTCCACAAAGGACACAGGACTTTATGCCTTGCACCACTATAGATTTGTTTTCAGGGCACCCCATCAAGCTTCTAGGTGTGTGTGTAGGGGTGGGGGGTCACGTGGGGGGGGTCTTCACGTGGGGTAATCAGAGAGAACCGAACATAGACTTGAGATGTAGTCGGCATAGTGCCCACTGAGGAACTTACAAGGCTTCTTGTAAAACCAAAAGAGAAAAGTCCCTTCTAGCATGAGCAAGTGCCTTGGTGATGGCAGGACGTTTTCTCTCACCTCATGGCCACATGCAGTTTGGTCCAATACCATCCCCGATGCCCATTGCAGGGGCTTTTTTCTGTTCTCTTGAGTGATGGTACCTCCTCCTCTACCTCATGATCTCCACAGGGTCTCCATGATCCAGGAGTGCAAACAATAAAACTTTGTTTGTTTCTTTAAAACTGATATAGCTCACAAACCTCATTTCCACAGATGGAAGAAAACCTAATTTTGTCAATTCAAGGAAAACTCAAACACTTCTTGTATTTTTTTCCTCCTTTAATTTTTTTTTTTTTTTAAGAAACAGGGTCCAGGCTATAATTCATAGTTCACTACAACCTCAAACTCCTGGGCTCAAGCAATCCTCCCACCTCAGCCTCCCCAGTACCTGGAACTACAGGCGCATGCCACCATACCTGGATAATTTTTCTATTTTTTTGTAGAGACAGGGTCACGCTATGTTGCCCAGGCTGGGCTCAAATTATTTTTCTCAAACAATCCTCCCACCTCGGCCTCCCAAATTGCTGGGATTACAGGCATGAGCCACTGTTCCCAGCCCTACCCTCTTTCTTATTTCCTTCTGTTCTCTCCCTCAATATCCTAAATTGGTGAGGGAGGGGGCAACATCTGTCCCCCATGTCCTCAGTCCTCAACCAACTTCTGTGCACATGACTCAGCTCACCTAATCTTCAGTACTTGCTCCCTGGAGGTTTTCTTCCCCTGGCCTCCTGGAGTCTCCCCAAAGTGTGGCTTGGGATTCAGCCAAAGACTTAATCAAAACCCTATGAAAATTTCTGGAACTCTTTCTCTGCACATCTCCCTCCTTTCTACTACTCTCTTCCACAAATCTTGCCCAGCTAACCCTCCCTGAGCTCCATCTCTGTCTGCTCAGCTCAGTGAAGCTGCTGGGTTTTGCACGGGTCTCCCTCATCATGCCGTGGCCCAGATACTGCTTTGTGGCAGAAAGCTGCAACGATCTCAAGGCTGGCCTGTTTTTGTCTCTAAGCAGTAGGTTTTTTTTAACTGCACCGTTTCCCTCATACTAATTCTCTCAGGGAACGTATTGCTGTCTGATGCTCATTGTCTAAAGACAGTTGTATATTTTTGTCCAGTTGGTGTATTTCTTTATGGAGGATGGGATAGTCTTGTATTAGTGACTTATCATGGCCAGAAGTAGAAATTAGACATTGACTTTTAAAGAGGTCCAATCAGTAGCCTTAAAAAAGGATTTTGACTGTTTTCTTGTGGTGTTGCATAGCTTGTGTCTCTGTTCATTTATACTTTAAATTTACTTTGAAATGTCCAACCTTTCAAACTCAAGGTAGTATAAACGTCAACTTTAGTATTGCTTTCCCGTGAAGATGTGTGCAGGGGAGCTGCTTAATATGTGAAAATCCGAGGAGAGTCTCAGCTCTGTCACATGAGCTGGATCTCAGCTTATTCATTTTATAAAAATGAGGCAGTGATGTTGCAGAATTAGCATATATTTAGAAAACAAATTATTTATCACAACTGTACTTTGAACATCATAGGCCTAAAATCTAGCGGCTGTTTTTGGCAAGTCACCCTTTTCCCCATGCAGTATGTTTTTATTTTCTTGTTCACTATAAAATCTTTGCATGATTGAGCACAGGATTCAACGTGAATATTTCATATTTTCTTCCAACTAAACCTAAATTGTGAACACGTAGTTCCTCTCCATAGGAAGCCTTCTTGTGTTTGGCATTTTTATTTACTCTGTGTTGGGCCTGTGTTGGTAAGGTCTAGAAGAGTCTCTTAAACTTGCATGTGTAAGGGTCATCTGGGCTACTCATTGAAAATGCAGTCTTCTGGGGCCTGGTTCCGGTCCAGGATCTTCATTTTAAACACCTGTAGGTGATTTTGAGCCAGGTGGTCTGAGGTCATAATTTGTGAAACACTAGAAAGTCCAGTATGTATATTTTTTTGTTTGGTTGCCTTTTAAATTGATTTCTGAAATTATTAGTTACCCGCTCTAGATACTGCAAAACAGGACTTAGAATTAGCAAAGAGGGGGAAATGGGTTACCTAGTCCCACTAAGCTTAGGATCTAAGGGTGACAATTCAGAGGAATCCAAACACTGTGGGTACTAATATGTCGAGAAAGGGATTTTTTGTAAAACTTTTCTCATTCATCCTAATGGTTTTAAAATTCTATACAGTGAAGTGATGAAATAAATCAACTGATAGAATTTATTTTTAAATTGGCAGTGATATTTTTCCCTTAACCAGGTGTTTCTCATCTCTCTATAAAACCAGCAGTTTTGTATCAGTTTGCCCTTTTTCATCTCCTTATTACTACTGGTTTATTTCATCATAATTATAATAACATTATGATATGTGTTAAGAACATAGGCTTTAAAGATAGACAAACCCTGGGTCCAAATACTAGCTGTATGCTTGTTCTATGATCTGGGCTCAAGTATTTGTTTGCTTTTCTGTAAACTGAAAGTAGAAATATCCACTTACATCAAGTTGTTGTGAGGCTCAGAAATGATGTATTGCATGCAAAGCACCTAACAAAGTGTTTAGCAGTTACTATTAACAAGTATACAATCATGCTAGCTTCTCTTATTTTTTTTTCTCACTTAAAAAAAGTCATTTCTTAAAGTGCACACAATATTGCAACTAATATTATTTCTTAGTTCCGGCCACCTTGGAAGAAGGTTTAGAGGAAAGAGCCACAGGGACTCTTCAGCCATGCATGTCTTCATGCTTTCTACTAACACTCCCTGGATTGCTTTCCTGGTCACTTTGGCATAAGGAGCTTTCTCCTGGGAGTTGTAGGTTAAAAGGAGCAGGTGACTTCTCTGTATTCTTTTACTTGGGACACTGGAGAGGTCAATGAACTGGAGATTACATTTATCAGCATCAACAAACCACCCGTAGCTGTGTGTTTGTGCTTCAATGAGCTTAAGAAACAGTCAAACACTGAGAGGTCACCTTGAATTAATCATTTTAACTTACAAAAACAGGAGCCATTTATTCAACGGCAAAGACACAGGCCATGTGCTATTTGTTTGTTTATGCTCGGAATGATATTAATTTATCTCCTTTTATTTGACAATTCTTCTCACATAGAGAGAACTGCTTACTGAAGGAAGTGTGAGGGAAGGTTTGGATGTATCATGCTCACTCGTAGAATGTATTGTAAATGCAGCTTTCTATACTTTATGTGTAAGATACATCGCTATTATATAACCGAATCTATCCTACTGTCATTAAAACATCCAGATTTACTTCCACTGAATGTAATGGACTTGTGAATTTGGCCCAGGGGAATTTAAGATCTGAGCCTTTAGTAAGTTGTTTCTACTCGAGAATTTCTAGGACTTAAAAGAGGCAAGACTGTAAAGTATGCCACACAAATTCTTATACTTAGGATCTCTCATCTTGCTGGACCTTTAAACATGGAGGCTGGGCAATCAGACTTGGCTTGGACTGTAGTGAGGTTCTCAATTTACCATCCATGGATGGGATTTATAGAGCACATGAGTGTGCTCACATTATTGTAAAACGTTAAAGTAAGCACTAGGTCACCAGCTTTCATCACTTTCACAAATGGGTCCTTGACTTCCAATAAAAGAGGCTGAGAATAATTTTATATCATTCTTATAGGGAAGGAGAAGTAATGTTTTTATTTTTATTTTATTAAATGAAGTGGAAAATATAAGCAGCCAAATTTAGTTGCGGTAAAGGTTAGATGCCCTGCTGTATTAATCGTAATCCTTCAGAAGCCTGCCCGGTTATGCCTCACTGTGTAACAATGCCTCCCTCTGGTGGTTTGATGTCATAAACATTGACATTTTTTTTTTTTTTAAACTAGAAAGTAGTTTCTTCTGAAGCCTGTCTTATTCCTTATTGCCAGCTGTCGCCAATTAATTGTGGGTGTACTGTTCTAATTCTTCCAGGTTTACATGGACTGTAAGGACAGGAGTGTGGATGTCTTGTTAGCCCATTGCACAGGTAGGAGAGTATTCTTGGCTAACATTGACCGTGATCCTTCTGTTGTTCCATGTGTTCGTGAAACCTATGCTCCATGTATCCTTATATTTCCTGTGCTTTCTTGTAGCTTCCTTGATAAAAGCAATGCAATATTATGGAAACCTAGACTCAGATAAACCAATTTTTTTTGAATCTATATCTGCTGCAATAAGTAACATCCATTCAAATAAGGTGAGTTGAGCAAGTTGCATGCAGGAGTTATGAGAAAAATTAGAATGTAGAATAAAGGGCCTTGCATTTTTTATATTAGCTTATTGCCCCATTGTCATCTAAAATCTACTAAAATCCCTAACACCACCACCTCAGAGTCCTCTGCTACTAAAGGAATGTTTCCATTCCTTTTTTAGGCCAGTTGTGAACTGTTGCTTTTTGGATCTTGAAACAATGTCACTGTTCAGAGGATTTGGTAATCACCTGTCAATTGCAAACTGCTTGCTTATAAAATAAATGCTGTTTCTAGGAGCTACTGTCCTGGAAATTTGAATCCACCTCTCTCAAATACAAACATTCTAAATATAGCCTTTTAGGGTGTTTTTTTTGTTTGTTTGTTTTTGTTTTTTTCTTCTGCTCTGATACCCTGGCTTCCAAGCTTATATTGCCATCTTTGGAAACATTATTTGCAGAGTCTAGTGCCCCCATGATCTGAAGTGTCAAAGTTACCTTACAAATACTGGGCTTTATGGTTTAGTTTTATAACTGTTCCTAGATCCTTGATCTCCTGCAATTTTTCTGTGACTTTTGAATCGTTTTGCCTTTCCTCATCTCTAGAACATTTGGTGCCTCCCAGAGTCATCCTTATTATATTCAATTGGAATAGTATATATTTACCAAATAATAATAATAATAATATTATTATTATTATATACCTAACATTTATTGAGTGCTCACTATGTTCCAGGAATATTTTAAAGGCTTTACCTATATTAATTAACTAAATTTGCCATAACCTAATGAGATAGATACTATAATTCAATCCAATTTTAGAAATGAGGAAACTGACCCAGAGAAATTACACCATTTGTAAGTGGTAGAGCTGGTTTCAAAGTCAGCAATCTGACCTTGGACCTGGAACTTTAAACTGCTATACTCTGATGCCCCATAGAATATTCATTTTCTTAGCTTGGCTAGGCAGCTTGCTTCAGTTACTACTGTTCTTTTACTATTGTACCAATTTAAGAGTTGAGTAAGTAGCATATGCTTATTTCTTCTTCTTCTATTTCAGAATTTGAGCAAACTGAGTGACCACAGTGAAGTCTGAGACCCTTTTGTTGCAGTGCAGCTCTTACCTTTAGCAACTGCCCCGAAGAGGCCATCTGCCGGCATTTTGCACGAGTTGTTTTGCTGTTTAGAGCCTACAGATGACCTCTATGACAACAAGTATGATATGACTTAGTAACTGCATAGCTGCTGGTCAAGAATTGCCAGCAATTTTTTCCAATCTTTGTTAATAAGCAAATTGATTTGCTTATTTTCTATAAAAATTGGTATGTATTTGGTTTCAGTGTACTAAAGGGTAAACATGATTTTATTTCCTTTTACCACAGTATTTTGTTTTATTTCTATTTTGCTGCCAATTGATTTGTAAAATTAAGAAATACTTTTGTCATAAGAGAATTGGAACATTTATAAGCCATTTGTAAAAATTCAGGATCATCTGTAACTAATACATAAAAACAACTTAGCCAATGTGCCATTTTCTCATATCTCCTCCCACCAAAAGCCATTTATATATCTATAAGGCTAAATATTACTTTATACAATAAGATGTGAAAGTCACAGAAAATAAACAAAAACAAATGACAAACTAGAAATTATTGATCTCCATACCTTTTCTTACGTTTATTCATTACTACAGTATTTAGGAATGTTTTTCATAGTTAGAAGAAATTGGTATCCCAATAAAGCTAAGTTTTTGACATGTTTATTTTGCTGTGAATATTAGAAGTGCTTAGGTTCTTCAGACCTAATAGCTCTAATTTCCACATTCCCACCCAATAAGAGGCTCTAGTTCTGCTTAAGTTTTATTGGAGCCAGAAAATATGGAAATTGCACATTTTATATCTTTTCACAACTATGATTTTTAAATGAGAAAATACTACCAGTAGAATAGCTTTGTGCTATTCCGGTATAAGATTAACTGCAAGTAGTTTTGGACTTTCCTATTTCAGAGAGACAGTCAATATAATATACTATGTTTTTGTGTCTATATCCCTATATATAGATAGATAGATCTCCATAGTATGTTTTCCTTTTTCTTTTTCTTTTGTTAGAGGAGACCTTGGATGTGATTATCTGCAAACCCACCAAAACTAACAGGATAATTGACAAATAAACACAACAGGCCAGGGTGAACTGTATGGTATTGTTTTCATGCATGTACAGATATTTTCAATCATATGCAAGTGCAGAGAGTTTCACATTTTTATCTGGCAAATAGTTGTGCCTAAGAAGAAATTTCACTTTCAAAGATAGGCAGAGACATGTAATTATGCTTAACCCTTAATGGTGTTTTAACTGCTCTGGAAATTACCAGTGTGAGAAAAAGCCAGGTAGTTTAAAGTGAGTTTGAGAAACAGGTTGAAAATCAAATGAAAAGACCAGTCATTTAGGAGCTTTCAATAGCATCTATAAGAATAAATAATAAATAAATAAATAGCCTGACAAATGATAGATTATAAAGGTCCCTAGCAATTGTGTGGTAAACATTCATATGGTCCTTCATTTTAACATTAAGTCCTAAGTAGGAAATAAAATCAAAGGGGAATAATGAATGTTTCAAATTCTTGTCACTTATCCAGCCATTTCAATTTTAATTTAGATGAACTGCAAAGAATAGTCTTTGTCCCAAAGGTAGCCTCAATCTTTTCATCACTAATTTGGATTGAAATGAGTCAGGCTAACTCACATTCCCATCAGATAATAATCCAGGGAAAGGTGGACGTGATGATTGAAGGTAAAATTTCCTTAGAGAAAGGAATTTTACTCTGCTTAGTCCAATCAAATTATTCCAGTGGTGGATGGCGGTAATATTTACCGTCTCTAATCCATTGGAAAATAAACATGAGTCAAGGAAAGTCAAAAAAATAAAATTTATTTTTCTATATATAAATTGATATTTTGCTTTGCAACTTTGAATTGTAATTGAATTCATGTACTACAAGCATTTTCTAACTTGTTAGACATTATGGACCATGGATGACATTAAAATCATTATAGTTAATCAATGGATAATTTGTTCTATGTTATTGTTAAAGCTGACACAGTATTGTCTGAGCAGTGCCATTTGAGTACATTTCAATGTTTATAGAAGTTTAATGGATAAAACTTTAAAGCCAATAACTTGGATGTCAAATGTTAATGCTATATTCAGAATAAAGGAAGACCAAACCATGCACCTCGTAAAGCCCTTTGTGCTAAGGCTTCTTCAGCACACAAGGCCACAATGACTGTTGACCCCGAGGAAGTCACTGGAATTGAGTTCTTAGAGTCCAAGAGTGGAACATGAGTTTAGACATACGAGATTCTAAAACATAAATGTTTATTTCAAAGCAGGCATCAACAACACAAAACTACAATATGGTCCTTATGCAAGAATGTTTCTAGAGTCACACTGAATTATTTTTGTCAGATCACCTTATTTTTACATATGATAAACTACTTCCATAATACTTATTATGGTAAAATAAAATTAGAAAAAATTAAAACTGACCTATAAGAGTGTTAAGGACCTATTAGAATGGCATATAGAAATTAAGCATAAAATATGTAACCAGGAAAAGACTGTTAACATTACATTTATGCAAATTAAATGCCCTTAAATTTCACCATTTGTCTTTCATTTTAAAGGTTATTTGCCCCCGATTATATGATTCAAGTGTTATAAGGTTTAGCTTGAACTACTTTGCAGTAATTTATTTGACAGATCTCTATTCTATAAATGTGTAATGTAATGAGGAAAGAGATCTTTCTTTTTAAATGAAAACATTAATGTGTTAATACCCTGTATGGATAATGTTTGACATTTAGTGGTTACCAAAATATATTGGTATGTTGCTGAACATATTAAATACATATGCCTTAGAAATGCACATTCTGTATTCTGTGGGATGATAATCTAATTCAATAGAGAATATGCTATTTGGCAGTGAGTTTGTTGCCAGATTTCAAATAGGGAGTTAAGTGGCACTTTCACAATCCAAAGATTTTTAGTTAAAAATCATGTAGTCTAATACACTGCACTTATTTTTTATATTTTTCAATGCATTTAATTATCTTTTTTACAATTCTTTGTACTAACTCAGCATGTAACAACCAATTGACTTGGAAATAAATTGAAATATGATAACTATTATGTTTAAATGGATTTGTGTCCATTATTTCAGAATATTTACTCTCCTACAAAGCAAATAATACATATAGCTTTCTTGGAATGACCACAGAGTATTACATGTCAAAAATTCCTGGAAGTATCCATTATTTGTAGTAATTTGTTCTTACAAAATGTCAACTGAGGGCTGTGAGATGCTGTGCCTTAATATATGGACTGCTGATTAGGATACTTTTCGCTACAAGACTACATTTACACAATCCTCTTTCACTAAGTTAACATTCTTTGTGTTCTAATTTTAATTAATGTGTACATTTTAATTTTCAATTTGTTTGGGTTCTTCATTATATGCCGTTGTGTTTTTTTGATCTTTTCTGAGTTCCTAGGCTGAGTTCAACGTTTTTCAATATTTTGGAAGTTACTGCTTTGAGGACAAGAAGATAAGGAACTATTCTAGATGTTAGAGATAGAACAAAGAATAAAACGGGAAAAACAAACAAACCAACCTACCTCTTCTTATGGAGCTTATATTTTAACAAGTGAAGACAGAAAATAAGCAGGATGAATACATCATAAATTAGATGATAATATGTGCCCAAAAGAAGGATAAATTAAGGAAAGATGATAGGAAGTATGGTAGAGGGTGAGTGTTGCCTCCCTAGATAGGGTAGCAGGAAGGTGATTAATGGGAGTGTCTTGTCAGTTAGGGCTACTATAAAAAAAACACCACAGATTAGGGGGCTTAAACTACAGAAATTTATTTCTCAGTTCGGGGGGCTGAGAAGTCCAAGTTGAAGATGCTGGCCAGTTTGGTTTCTGGTGAGGGCTCTCTTCCTGGCTCGTAGATGACCACCTTCTCACTGTGTCCTCATATGGTGAGGAGAGAGAGAAACAGAGAAATGACACTCCCATTCCAAAAGGGAGAAGTTAGAAAGAAGAAAAGAGTGATGGGTCCCAAGCAAGTCCAAAACCTAGCAAGGCAAATTCTGTTAGATCCATTAGATCTCAGGGCTCAAAGATAATCCTCTTTGATTCGATGCCTCACCTTTTGGACCCACTGTGTGGCAGTCCTGCCTCCAAGGCTCTGCAGGACAGTTCCAGCCCCAAAGCTTTGGTTGGAGGCTGTCTGGACTATTAAAACTGAGTCACTGTCCCCACCTCTCGAAACCAAGGAGGCAGCACTAATGATCTCCGAGTTGCCTTTGGTGTCATTCTCCCTTTTCTTTAAGAATCGTGCGTGTTCACAGCCGATTAGCTCCGTGGTCCCGTCCGGTAGAACCCAAGAAATCTGACAGCCCTCCTTCATTTTGTCCCATCTCTGTTCCCTTCTGTTCAAACTGGCAGAGTTTCTGCTTGTATAATCCCATCTCTATCCCTAGCTTCTGCTGAGGTGGCTGATTAAATTCATTGTTCACACCCACACTAATCTCGTTATCAAATTGTTGTTTAGCCACACCCTTAGAGTTCTCTTTGGAACAAGGTTTATAATTTTATGCAATGTGGGATAGACTAAGAATTTTCCAAATCTTCAAGTTCTTGCCCCTTTTTGCTTAACAATTCCTTCATCATCTCTTTTCCTCACATTTACTATAAGCAGTCAGGAGCAACCAAGCCACCCCTTGAATGCTTAGAAATATCCTCAGCTAAATATCCAATTTCGTCACCTGTAGTTCTACCTTCCGCAGAACACTAGAACAGGGTTCAGCCAAGTTCTTTGCCACTTTATAACAAGGACTGCCTTTCGTCCAATTTCCAATAACATGTTCCTCACTTCTGCCTGAGACCTTGCCACGATGGCCTTTCACGGCCATATTTTTACCAACACCGCTCAGGATTACTTATGTATTCTCTAAGCAGATGGAAGCTTTCTTTCTCTTTTCTTTTTCAGCTCTCACCAGCATCACCTTTAACATCTATCCTTCTACCAACAG